TAAAAAAAATCTATGCAAAATCTTGTCCAACGAAGCTAGGCCGTGCATTGTAGAAAAACAATGACTATAAACAAATTTTGCTCAAGCTAAATTTGGCTAATTATTTTCTCTTGGAAGTTTTAACAATCTGTGGGCCAAAGGCAAACAATTGAAGTAAACCATACATTGAAAATGAATACACAAAATTTTGTGGGGGGGAAAATATCTTGAGTGGTTGATTTAAGTACAAGAAAAGTAATTCATGAATACAAGTGTGGGTGCTGAGCTAATAAGATCTGGAGGGTAGTTAACGTGAAGACGGTAGGTTGCATGTGTATTTAGCGTTCACTTGCAAAAGCAGTTGTCGTAAAGTAGCCAATAAAAGCCAAGTTGTTTGATGAGACAGTAACTGCTACTTTTTGTTCAGCTTTGGTTCGTCCAAAATTTCAACTAAGAAACCTGCAAATTGAAAATGAGGAGGATATGGAAGGTGACCTTTCACTCTCTTCCACGCTTCACGCAGTGAAGGGATTCTTAATTTGCTTCTCGGTGTAGTTTTGAGACGAGTGAAAAGGAATTTGAAGAAAAAATATCTTTTTGAACCAAAGGAATTCTTCAATTCCTTTGCATCTTATCTAAAGATAATGGAACAAGAATTAAGAAAGAGAAAGGCCACTAACAACTTATTGGTTTAACAGGAAGAAATTCGATTCTCCTTAAACAAAGTATAGATTTCGAATTTTGTTAATAGAGAAACAAGTATTAAGAGAGTTTCCTCCTTATGGATCTGATGTGATTTAATTTCATATTAGTTGAGACTCAATGTGAAACTGAGAGGTTAATACCAAACACAAAAAAAAAAAGAGAGAAAGGCTATTTCTTTCATCGGATGTGATGCTTCTTAGTTCTCACCATCTTCTCCTCGTTTCTTCACCAAATGGCACAGGCTGCTCTAAACTCGGTGTGAGATCTCAAAATTCAACAATACAAACAAGTCAAAATCTAACAGTTTGTGCAGATCTGATCTATATTGATTATTGAAGATTAAGAAGCTTGAACATCCAAAATAAATAAATAAATAAAGTTTAATAAGCTTTTCATCAAAGCAGCTCAACAGCTGGTATTCATCTAAACCAGCTGCCAGGATTGGCAAGTTCTATTTCAAGATGGGCTTTCCCTGGCATGGAATGGGCTCTGCCACTTAGTTGCTGCTAGAAATATAACACCCACCACATTTCCCACGGAACTCATGCACAAACAATCATGCATATCACGCCTGCACTTCAGTTACAAAATGCTTAATTCTGAACAAAGGTTTTGGATGGAATGGAACAAGTCCACGTTCTCATCCAAGTTCAGATTAACAATGGAGGGTGTGGGAGATTTTTAAGGTACTGACAAACAAGGCATGAGACGTATGATTTATAGCATCCCTTTAAAGGCTGCTCTAAATTCTTGAATTCCACACTTTCTAATTCAGTACTTAAGAGAAATTAAGTTATGTTTGGTTAGGAGTTACTATTTATTGATCAAATCATAAAAACAAAACTAATTAGCTATAGCATAGTATTTTAAGAACAGTTATTCAATACTTGCATCATAAATATGGTAAGAATAGCTAATAACAGCTTAATAATAACACCCACAAGGTTTAAGCTTTTTCCTGTCAACTCTCACCAAAAGAAAATTGTTACAAAGAAGTATCATTCCTTTAATGTCTTCTCCCATCCTAAGTTAACTTATTTTTATTCTCAAAAAAGTGTTTTGGTAGGAACAAACCTAACATTGAAAATGTAGTCCACCTTATAAATTCACTAAAATACCTTTAATAAAACTATTTATTATGTTATTTCATTAAAGGTATTTTAAAAAATTTATATGATAAATTGTACTTGTAATGTATAATCCTAACTATAATACATGAATATCTTTTAGTTTAGTTTGACCAATATTGTAATAGCTACCCCTAAACCAAACAAGCCTAAAGAGATTGAAGAATGCAGAGTGCTACAAGCCATAAAAAACTGAAGCCAAGATACCACCACTAAGGGGATTACAATATTTGACAAACAGATAAATCCCATTAATCAAACAGCATTCCCTTCCAACACAGTTTTGAGAAAGACACAGACAATTAAGCCATGGAGAAGCATTTTATGGCATTCCCCAGTATGTCCTTAACAGGATGAACACAGAATTACAGACTATATATTGCATACTGCAAATGCAATCGGACCCATCATCCATGACATAAAAACTTCTTAACTAAAAGTAGGTACCCTCAGGAGGTTGGACAAGCTTCCGGTTATGTGGTGCAGCCATCTCTTTTTTCAGCTGTGTCAGTATATCCTCCATGGTATACTCCCTCTGCCAATTTGCAAGTAGTCCAAACTTCTTTGGTTCCACCTGTTACAATTGGACACCATCAGACCCTTGTTACTTAACCCAAATCCATTATCCACCTAAAAACTGCGAACTACTTTTCCAGAATACTAATACAGTAAGACATAGAATATAACATTTGTAAGCTTGTCCCAACATGGTAAATATAATATCAGTTTCTTGGCCCCATGTCCAGGGAATGGGGGAAAGGAACTGAATTTAAACAAAAGGTCACCAAGGCCAAGTTAAATCATAAATGTTAAAAGAAGAGACCAGATAAAACTAAACTAAGACCACTGACATAAAAAAAAAGTCAGATATTGAAATATATAATTAGAAATTTAGAATACCACTCCAGTTTCATGGTTAACACAAGTCATGTTGACCCTTGAATGAAAACGAACACTTGGTGGCTTCTCAGGGTAATCTTTGTCACAAAACAGCTTCAGCTGATAGATTCGACCTTCATGAACAGTCTGACAATAGAAAAGATGCAAATCAGCTAAAGGTGAAAAGAGGAAATAGGATTGCACATGAAGATAATTCTAAAAATCCCCAACAAACACATTATTTATTTTTAACCTCAGACTATGCTATGAATCTAAGAAATGGTTGAGTTTGATATTTCCATGTAGTTTTGACATGT